TGTCTCTCTGTTTTAATAGTTTTGACTTAAAGCCTATTGTGATTGATAGTATAATAGCCACTCCTGATTTCCATTAGCTTTTGCATCAGATCTTATACCATCCCTTCACTTTCAACCTTCGTATGTCTTTAGCTCTAAAGTGAGTCTCTTGTAAGCAGTGTTAAGTTGGCTCCCGTTTTTCTTTTTAAATTTTTTTGCATTCCAAGTTTATGAACTTTAACATGTAATAATTGTAAATTGCCATCTCCTTATTTCTTTGGTGACTCTGAGCTCCTCTGTTGTAGTACTTCATAAAATATATAATATGCAGCTACAGTCATTCCACTGAACTGTGCCAAAACAGAATAATTCCTTCTATCTGTGTTTTGGTACCCATTTTCCAAGGTATTCTTATTCCCCCCTACCCCACTGAGATAAACTTTGTTGTTTGTTCCCACATACAAGAACATGAGCTATTTGTTTGTGCCTGGCTTATGTCATTCAACACTGTCCTCCAGTTTCACCTTGCTGCAGGTGACAGGATCCCATTCTTCTTTGTAGCTAAATAATAGTCCATTGTTTATATATTCTACATATTCTTTATCCATTCATCTGTATGCAGACATTTAGGTTAATTACATATTTTGGCTATTATGAGTAGTGTCTCAATAAACATGGGAGTGCAGGTATCTCTTTGATATACTGAATTTCTTCCCTTTCAGTGGGTACCTGAAGTAGGATAGCTAGATCATATGGAAAATCTATTTTTTTTAAAGATTTATTCTTTTATTTATTTGAAAGAGTTACAGAGAGATGTAGAGACAGACAGGTCTTCCATCCATGGTTCACTCCCCAGATGGCCACAATGGCTGGAGATGCGCTGATCCGAAGCCAGGAGACAGGAGCTTCTTCCAGGTCTCCCATGTGGGTGCAGGGCCCCAGGGATTTGGGCCATCTTCTACTGCTTTCCCAGGCCATAGCAGAGAGCTGGATTGAAAGTGGAGCAGCTGGGACTAGAACCGGCGCCCATATGGGATGCCAGCACTTCAGGCCAGGGCTTTAACCCACTGCGCCACAGCGGGTTAAAAAATAGAAAATAGAAATAGCAAATAGAAAAATCTATTTTTAATCTTTGTTTCTCAGTGACTGCATTAATTTACATTCCCACCAAAGTATATGACTTCCTTTTTCTCCACATCCTCACCAATATTTGTTGTTGTCTCTTTTTAATATCCATCCAAAATAGACTGAGAGGATATCTCACTGTGGTTTTGATTTTTATTACCCTGACAGCAGTGATATTGAGCATTTTCCACATATTTGTTGGTAATTTGCATATTTTTCTTCAATTTATTTATACATTTTAAAATTAGATTGACTTTTTAAAGGTTTTTTTAATTCCTTGTAATATATTCTGGATATGAATCTTTTGTCAAATGAATAGTTTACAAATATTTCTCCTATTCTATCAGTTGTATCTTCTTCTGTTGAAGATTCCCTTTACTGTATAGAAGCTTCTTAGTTTGATATAATCCCATCTGTTTAATTTTGCTTTTGCTATTTACTTAGGGATCTTGTCCATAAAGTAACTGTATATACCAATGTCTTAAAGTTTTTCCCCTAAAGTTTCATCAAGTTGTTAAATAGTATTTGGTTTTCCATTTAGGTCTGATCCATTTTGAGGTGCTATTTGTGTAGGGTCTTCTACTTCTGGATACCCCCAATTCTTAGCACCATTTAAGAGGCTTACCTTTGTCCACTGTATGTTTCTGGCAACTGTCAAGAATCAATTGGCTATCAGTGGGTGGACTCTTTTCTGGGATCACTATTGTGTTCCTTTGGTCTATGTGTTCTATGCTAGTATCATGCTATTTCAGTTAGAATAGTTCTCTAGATGTTTTGAAATCAGCTATCCTGATGCCTCCAGCTTTATTCATTTTGTTTTTGTGTTCCATGTGAATTTCATAGTATTTTTCTAGTACTGTGAAGAACTATCATTGGTATTTTGGTGAGGAATGCATTAAATCTATCCATTGTTTTGGGTAGAATGCACATTTTAATATTAATTCTGGTCCACAGACAAGGAAGTCTTCCTGTTTTTGGTGTGTCATCTTAAATCTTCCATGAGTGTTTCAGAATTTTAATTTTTAAACTTTTATTTTTTCTATTTATTTGAAAGTCAGAGTTACATATAGAGAGGAGAGCGAGAGAGCGAGAGCGCACGTGCACGCGCACACACGCGCTCTTTCATCTGATTGTTCACTCCTCAAATGGCCGCAACAGCCAGAGCAGCACGGATCCAATGTCAGGAGCTTCTTCCAGGTCTCCCACTTGGGTGCAGGGGCCCAAGGACTTAAGCCATCTTCTACTGCTCACCCAGGCCATAGCAGAAAGCTGGATTGGAAGTGGAGCAGCCAGGACTCGAATTTAGCACACATATGGGATGCCAGCTCCGCAGGTGGCAGCTTTACCCATTATGCCACAGTGCTGGTCCCAGGCTTTTAGTTTTGTTTTGTTGTTGTTGTTGTTGTTGTTGTTGTTTTTTAACAGGCAGAGTAGACAGTGAGAGAGACAGAGAGAAAGGTCTTCCTTTGCCGTTGCTTCACCCTCCAATGGCCGCCACGGCTGGTGTGCTGCGGCCGGCGCACCGCGCTGATCCGATGGCAGGGGCCAGGTGCTTTTCCTGGTCTCCCATGGGGTGCAGGGCCCAAGGACTTGGGCCATCCTCCACTGCACTCCCTGGCCACAGCAGAGAGCTGCAGGCTTTTACTTCTTAAGTTTGTTCCTAGGTATTTTATTTTTCACAGCTGCTATGAACAGGACTGTTTGGTAATTTTTCTCAACAAGTTTATTATTGGTATATAAAAATACAGTTGAAGACCATGTTAATTTCACATCCTATAGTGTTTACTTATCAGCCCTTTTGAAAATGTTTTAAATACTTATATAAGGTGAACAAATTTCATGTATTTCAAAAGAACATAATGATACTTCCTCCCCTACCCTCCCTCCGCCTTCCTTTCTTAATTTTTTAATTTTTACAGTGACATACTTTCAGTTTATTTTATAATCAAAAGTTTAGCCTTCCACTAAATAAAGAATTCAACAAGTAGTAAGTAGAAAAACCAGTGTCCCTCAAGAGAGTATAGACAAGGCTGTAAACAATAATTAAATCTCAAAATGTCAATTTTGTTCACACACATTACATTTTTTGTACTCGGTATATTAGTTACCAGTAGTTAGGGAAAACCTATCCAAGTCCCTGCTATTGCACCTGGGAAAGCAGCAGAAGATGGCCCAAGTCCTTGGGCCCCTGCACCGTGTGGGAGACTGGATGAAGCTCCTGGATTTGGCCTGGCCCAGCCCTGGCCGTTGGAGCCATTTGGGGAATGAACCAGCTTGCTCGCTCGCTCGCTCGCTCGCATCTCTCTCTCAAATAAATAAATCTTAAAAAGAAGATCTGATGTTAGTCTCACGTTGTTTCCTTTAAATGCAATGTAGCAATTTTTCTGTTCTTAGAATTCTCTTTGTATTACACTGTTGACAGTCTAGCTAACATGCTACAGTGAGGAGCCTTTTTAGTCAAACCTCTTTGGGATCCACTGGGCCTCTTGCACCTGGCTATCTTTATCTTTCTCAAGAAGGTGAAGTTTTCAACTATTACTTTATTGAATAGGCTTTCTATGCCTTTTTCTTTTTCACCTTCAGAAATCCCCCAAATTCAAATACTTTTTTCCATTTAATGATGTCCCAGAGGTCCTGGAGAATGTCTTCATTATTTTTTCCCTCTGACATATTTCATAAGACCTGTCTTCAAATTCAAATATCCTGTATTTTGCTTGATCTTGTCTGTTCAGCATTTCAACAAATTGCCCGAGTTCTTTATTCCCATGTTTTCCTTTGTCAGTATCTTCTTGCCTGAACTTCTCACATCATGCATTGTTTTCCTAATTGCATGAAACTCTGTTCTCATATATCTCATATAATCATTCATTTAAACCGTTTGAGTTCTTTGTTAGGCATTTTATCTGTCTGCTTTTGGGAGGGGTCTTTTGCTAGACAGTTACTGGTTTTCTTGGAGAAGGAATTTTGTATTTCATGCTTGTGTCCCTGTTATTTGGGCATCCAGTGAAAGCAGTTAGTTCTACCATTTTTTATAAGGTGACTTTCATAGTAGATGGTTTTGTCCTGAATATGTCTTTTTTTTAAGATTTTAAAATTTATTTGAGAGGTAGACTTACAGACAGAGGAGGAGAGGGAGGAAGAGTCTTCCATTGGCTGGTTCACTCCCCAAATGGCCACAACGGCCAGAGCTGAGCTGATGCGAAGCCAAGAGCTTCTTCCAAGTCTCCCATGTGGATGCAGGAACCCAACTGCTTGGGCCTTCCTTCACTGTTGTCCTAGGCCATAGCAGAGAGCTGGATTGGAAATGGAGCAGCTGGGACTAGAACTGGCACCAAATGGGATGCTGATGCCACAGATGGAGGATTAACCCCCTGAACCACAGCACCGGCCCCCTGAATATATATCTTAAAGTGTTGGTTTGGTAGGCTGTGTTGGCTTTAGTTCTAGTTCTGTGCCTTAGTGTAATCTCCCTATAGATTCTTTGGCATTGATGGCCTTGTGTATAACACATGTGATGGTAAGGTTAGAGAGGCCTGTATGCCAGGAGCCACACAGAGAGGGTATTTTAGTGGCTCGGTATGGTGTGTTGCACGTAACAGTAAAGGTGGAATATCCACTATGTGGCTACTCCAGCAATGGGAGTGGTGGAACCAGAAGATCATGTCAATTCTTCCTTTGTAGTAACAGTGGCAGGTGTGGTGCCTGCACGCTCTAGGTAGCAGAGGCTTGGACTGTGGGGAGGCCAGAAAGGGATAGGGTGGGAGGCAAGTGGCATAGAATTTATGCTCTTTTTATAAAATTTTAAATAAAAAATTTGTTGATGTAATGATTGTTTTTATAATTATTTCCATTAAAAGACTACATTTAAAAACATGTTTTTTTTCCCCTTTTTGTAGGATATAGCAAATGAAGAACACAAAAAAATTGAAGTATTAAAAGCAGAAAACAAGAAACTAGAAAAACAAAAAGGAGAATTAATGATGGGGTTCAAGAAACAATTAAAATTAATTGATGTTTTAAAAAGGCAGAAGGTGAGTCTATCCTAAAAAACTAAGTTAAATCAGATCTCATTTAGACCCTTCTAGTTAAATCAGATCTCATTTAGACCCTTTTACTACAAAAATATTTAGCCTATTTTATGTCTGTGGAATTTTTAGCAATATGAAATCTAACACATATTATTGCTTATAAATAATATATCATCTATGCTAGGTTAATCCTCCGCCTGTGGCACTGGCATCCCATATGGGCGCCAGGTTCTAGTCCCGGTTGCTCCTCTTCCAGTCCAGCTCTCTGCTGTGGCCCAGGAAGGCAGTGGAGGATGGCCCAAGTGCTTGGGTCCCTGCACCGCATGGGAGACCAGGAAGAGGCACCTGGCTCCTGGCTTCGGATCGGCGGAGCGCCGGCCGTAGCGGCCATTGGGGAGTGAACCAATGGAAGGAAGACCTTTCTCTCTGTCTCTCTCACTGTCTGTAACTCTACCTGTCAAATAAATAAATAAAATCTTTAAAAAAATGTATCATCTAAGCAAATGGATAGTAGTATGGAAAAACCTGATGGGTTAGTATGGTATGGGTACTTCTCAACTACAGAAATGACCATATGCAAGAATGACTATTGTCTTAAAAGACTGCCACTTCAAACCTTCAAGAGTAAACACTGACTCCAAACAACTGGTGTTCCTTTCTCTAAACATGAGATACCTGTTGGTGAAAGACAGGAATTCATAGTTCTGTCACTCCCTTTTATTACAAAGCTCAGGCATTAAAATACTATAAATGATTGTCTTAATAGTGAGTAGGTTGATACAGTTATCACTGTTGGGCAAAAAGGCTTTTTTTTAAAGTAGATTCTTGAATGTACAAGAGTTCAAGAAGTCTGAAAAGTTTATTTTAATGCAAAAATATTTTGAAATCGTACACAGATTTTTCATAATATTGTCCACGAACTTAAAATATCATGCTTACATTCTTATAAAAACTAACTTGGACAATGCTTTTTTTTTAAAAAAACCAGATGCATATTGAAGCTGCCAAGATGCTGTCTTTCACTGAAGAAGAATTTATGAAGGCACTTGAATGGGGAAATTCATAAATGATATACTTCAGTTCCTTTTATGACCATGTGTAGTTGTAATGGTTTTAATTATTTTTACTCTTTATGAAATCGAAATACTTTCAAGAACTCCATGTTTACATTTGAGGGATACAAAACTGATATATTACTCTGCTATGTAAGTAGGAAATGTAAATATAAAATAAAACAAGGATTATACTTTTAACTCTGCTATCTTTTCATGGCCTACTAGATTTTTGAGTTTTTACAACTGCAGTTGAAAATGTTTTATGTCTGGAGAGTCAACTCTAGTTTATAAATGAAGGTTTATCTGAGAAATTCTATGTGTAAGTTCTGGCTTTTACCATGACAATTAGGCACATTAGCTCATACAGCACTTTGACAGTCTGAAATCTTTTCTCCTTCTTTAGATTCAAAAAGATGCTTTAAAATCGAATTCTAAATATTTCTTTCCCTGGCCAAATAAGGAAGGAAATTTCCTAAATACAAAGGCAGAAGGCAACAGTTCAGAAGTAAATATAAGCAGAAAACATGGAATGTTATAAAGTGGTATAGAATTCAGATACTCAGATTATCAGTATAAAAATGTTTGACTAAAAGTAGCTAATATACTTAAACATGGAATGTTATAAAGTGGTATAGAATTCAGATACTCAGATTATCAGTATAAAAATGTTTGACTAAAAGTAGCTAATATACTTAATACTCCTGGTAGCTGTTTATAAGTTATATAAATAAGTGTTTTAGAAGATCCACATAAACGATCTATAGTGTCACTGAACTGTAAAATCAAAGTTACACTGACATCTAGTGGCAACATACAAAAGAACCCCGGGTTACCAAATCTTGATGTTACCACTTGTCTTCAAGTTGTACTTCTTTTCTGATATGCCTTCTTAAACTCTTCACCAAGCATATCAATGTCATCCTCTTTTTTAAATATTCCCTACAAGAAAAATATTTTGCAGGTTATTTTGGTTGCTAGAATACTTCACTAAATGCTTTCAAGGCTTACATACAGAAATTTACATTTTAAAAAAGTCAATATTCTCTAAAAACATAACTTATAAACACACACACACTCGGAATATTCCTAGACTAACCTAATTTCCTATTTATCGCTGCAGTGCAGACACATGTCATAGGAATCTGTGCCTCTCCACTGTATTACTTGCAAGTACTACTGTTTGGATTGCCTGGAGAAGGAATTCATGCTATAGTACCCTACCCTGTTTAAAACAGCTCTATAACATTAATGATGGAGGGCTGGGGTGAAGAGATAGAGCTTTGCTGGATTCATGTACGGAACTGTCTCAGTTCTGTGACCAGTCAGCAAACATTCAGTGTTGCAGAAAGCATCAGGTTTTGAATTACACAGTTGAAATTCTATTTTTCTTTGCCCCTAAAGTAAGTAGCAAAAAGCTGTTTAATAAATATTTATGTTATAATCTAAAGGATTTAAGGGATAATGTAGATCATTTGGGGCCATTAGGCCTTCTTCTTGCCTCCACAATTTTTTCACGCATAAAAATATCAAAATCCAAAGACTCTTCCAGAATTTATAACTTGTTTTGTGAAATTTACCCATTACAAATGTATTTTATCAATAGAAGAGCCTTTGTCCAGATAGTAATTACTTAAATAATTCTCTTTTTCCTTCCTTCCTGAGTACTGGACTGAAGTTATTAATTTCTTTTTCTGAATTAATGAATATCAAATGGCATGATTTCTGTATTTGAAGGATGGTGATTTTATGTATATGTCTTGATGTCAAGGTATTACCGTTGCTCTAGGGTAGCTGAATTTTAAAATTTCTATGCTGAAAGGTTTACTGAATTTCTACTTTAAAGGCTCCTTTCTCTCCTAACTCATACTTTAATAATGTGCCAAGACCATGAACTCATTTTAAGGATGTTTGGATTGGCCCAGAGATGGTCAGAGCCTGGCCGAGATCCACTGCTGCTTCATAACAGAGCAAAACCTCAGCCTTCTGTGACCATTCGAGGTCATGAAGATTGAGACAAATCTCACTTACTTTAGGGAGATATCCTAATAATTTTGTGGCATGTTCTTTGAGAAGTTTTAGCCTTTCTTCTTCAATGACTGCATTAATGCATCCTTGTCTTCTTTGTTGCAACTGCCATTCTTCCAGTTCACGTTGCTGGAAATGTGAATCAAATTTTGTTAATTGTTTTAAGAACTGTTCTTGCAGTGAAAAAGTTCAAGAGCTACTAGTGTGTGTGTGTGTGTGTGTGTGTGTGAGAGAGAGAGAGAGAGAGAGAGAGAGAGAGAGAGAGAAACAGAGAGAGAATCTTACCCTCACTATTCCTTAAAAGTTACAAGAACAGTATTTATGACTAGGATTTTAACGAGGCATGTATACATGTTTAGGAAAATGTATAAGGAAAAAATATTCAAAGGAGGGATTTTCTAATAAATTCAGCAAATATATATTTTGAATACTTACATCACAAGAGCTAAAAAAACTTCAGACAAAAAATTAGTGAACAGAACAAGGATATCTAAATGATAAATATTTTCTCATATATAAAATGTGTGACTCTTTTAGAGATGGACACAATTATAAATACCTACTTAGGAAGATCTCTGAAATCCAAATGGAGTTGCAGCCTTACATCACTATATAATGGACTGAATTAATGAGATGCATCATCATAAAGATATTTCTTCCCCTGGCCCAGAGCAAAAATATTGCCCAGTCTTCCACTTAAAGCTTACAAGGAACATTTATAATTTATGAAGAACAATTAAGACATGAATTTCTTATACAAGTATCCATGCCTTAGGTGGTTTTATATGACTTCCATTTATAGTTGTCCCACTGACTTTTCCAGGAGCTTTCTATTTTAAATTCATTTTTTATTTGAAAGGCAGAAAGACACAGATGGAGATCTTCAATCTTCCATCTGCTGGTTCACTTCTCAAATGCCATCCACGGTCAGAACTAGGCCAGACCAAGTCAAGACCATGCAGCTCAATCTGGGTTGCCAGTGACTGGCAGGGACCCAAGTTCAGCCATCACCTGCTGCCTCACAGGATGCACAGTAAGTGGGAGCTGGAACTGGAAACAGCCAGGACTCAAACCCAGGCACTCTGCTATGAGATGCTAGCATGCCAGGTGGCATCTTAACCAATGCTTCAAAGGCCTATCCCTCCAGGAGCTCTCTGATTAAATATGAGTAGGGCACTCAGTCACTGGTTCTGCCTTTTCATAGGCAAGTGGCATTTCAAATGTCATCGATTTAGAAAATAGCCGTTCCCTGTCTGCTTTTATTCGCATGTAAAATTTTTAGGTAAATCCACAAAGTTCTGCCACAAATGCATCGCACATTTAGTAAATTACACACCACCAAATTCTGCAGGTGTGTACACATTTAAGAAACACATCAGGGTAATGCATATATTCCATTCTTTGGGGTCCCGATACCCTGTTTTCAGTATTAGATCAGAAGCTGCCAGAATGAGCTTTCATATTTTGTTTCTCTCACAAATACAAAGCAGAATAGTAAGTATCTGTGATTACAAGAATATCCTGAAATTCTTCTTACCTACCCATGGAGGAAAAGATCAGCATTATATTAATCCTAAGTCTGCCACTTAATTCTAAGAAACCATGGACAATAATATCCCTATGCCTCAGTTCCCACATCATTAAAAGGGAGATCACATCAGTACATAACTCAAAGGGTTCAAAGTTTTCTTTGCTTGTGATGAGGACAGAATACTGAATGAAATGAACACTCAATAAATGTAATAATTATCATTGCTTAAAAGTATTACCATAGGCCTAAACTATACTCTTCATATTCAGAGCTCTTTATCTCTCCAAAGCACTTACGCATTATCTGGTTTGGTTCTTAAAGCACGGCAATCTAGTGAAACGTTATATGAGTATTACTTTGGTTTTGATGGGTGAATGATAAATAGTAAATGCATGTGTCCAGAGTCACAGACCTTACATCCACATTTCCAGCTAGAAACCTTCCCTGGGCCTCAAAATCACCATCAACAAAATCAAATTACACAAAACGCATTTTTCTTTCTGCACACTTATCCTCATCCATTAAAGACAGAAGTAATAGTGTTAGTTACTGTCAGTAGTAGCCTTAGGTTCTCTTTTGGGGCCGGCACTGTGGCGCAGTGGGCTAATGCCCTGGCCTGAAAGGCCAGCATCCCATATGGGCACCGGTTCAAGTCCTGGCTGCTCCACTTCTGACCCAGCTCTCCGCTGTGGCCTGGGAAAGCAGTAGAAGATGGCCCAAGTCCTTGGGCCCCTGCCCTCTCGTGGGAGACCCGGAAGAAGCTCCTGGCTCCTAACTTCAGATCAGCACAGCTCCAGCCATTGTCACCAATTGGGGAGTGAACCAGCGGATGAAAGACCTCTCTCTCTCTCTCTTTGCCTCTCCTCTCTCTGTGTAACTCTTTCAAATAAATAAATAAATCTTTAAAAAAAAAAAGTTCTCTTTCCTCTCTCAGTATCCAGCAGTAAACAAACCCCTTCCAAGCTGTATCCTTACCCTCTGATGGGCCCCAGCCCCAACTGCAAGGATTTTACCACTTATCGCTGAGATTACTGCAGTAACTTCCTTACTGGGTGCCCTGTTTCCAAGTCTACTCCTCTCACATCCACCCTCAATGCTGCCACTGGAATCACCTTTCAAAATGCAGATTTTAACATGTAGCTTTCCTAATTCTTCAGTGGATCCCACTGGGAAAAACCAACCTTCTTATAATAGCATTCAGGGCACTCAAGATCTGTTTGTCCTCTCTGCATTACCAACACATCTATTCCTGCATAATTTATCACATGCAAGTGACATGACTTTATATTTTCTCTTAAGAAGATAAATTCATTTATGACATGAACTCAGTTGTATTTACCTCTATGTTCTCAACACTAACCAGTAAATGCATAAAAATATTTTCTAGATGCGTTAATATATAATGGGTCAGAAAATTTATGTATCATGATTAGTAAACAGATCTAACGTTGTCTCACACATAAATGGTTCTTAGTAAAGGTTTAGTGACAGTGACACCCCCACCCCTACCCCCCGAAAAAATCTTTTTCTTACTTTGTCTGCAAGGAACTGGTTGCGACGTTCCTCTATGAGTTTTTCCACAGCCCTTCTGTGTTCCAGTTGCTTCATTCTTTGTTTCTGCGCATTCATTAATTCTATTCGATCATCCTCTGCGAGTTTAGCTAGCATAGTTTTCCTAAAGAGCTCCTCTTCCTCTTTTGCAGCCTGCAGAACCAGTTCCTTCAAGGCCATCTGCTCTTCAAAATCTTGCTTCATCTCCTTTTGCTTTCTCAATTTCTCTTCTGCTTCTTCCTAAATAATACAGCTAAAGTTAATTCAATAAACATTTCCTTATACTGGATTTATAAAGAAAGGAAGGGATAATTTGGGTAAGCTTAACATTACAATATATAATCATAAAAACTGAAAATTAAGCCTTTAATGGTAACACTGTGCCCTTTTTAACTAGTTGTATAAAGGACATGTTACCTTTGTGTTGCCTTCTATTATTTGTTTTTACATTTGTACTTATTTAACATTTTGTTTCTATACTCAGAGCTGACATATAACCATTAAAAAAAAAAAAGCTGATAGGAAAACCTATTTTTACACACATGAGTTTATTAGGCTGTGGTTTGTGAAATTTTTACCAACTATTACTCATTCTAGACTCTTATCTGAAACAGCTTTCCAACCACCAATAAGTATTTTTCCACTTCCAACTTCTTCCCTTTATGAAACCAAGGTGCATTTTCCCATCTCTAGTCTTCTAATACTCCTTCCATTATCCAAAATTCTCTAAAATTTAAAAACAATCTACAAATGACAATCTGAATTTTTTTCAGGGAAATTCAAATTTCCTTGGATCAGTTAAGTCCTGTCTTACAAGATTTTATTATGAAAAATTCAAGCATACACAAATATAAAGAATTTGATAGTGATCACCTGTATACCTAATACCTAGATTCTATCAATATTTTACTATTCTTTGCCTTCCATCCAATTTGGGCTGATGGAAATTCTTTTCTCTTCATGAATCTAATCATCCTTACCCAGTTCTCAAAAAAGCTCCAGGTAAACCAGTATCCTCTAGGTATCCAGAATATTCCTTTCATAGCTGAATTGGTCAGAGTTGTATGTAAAGATAACACAGACCATAAGAGATTTGCTACAGGACACTAAGTGGCATACAGAACTTCTAAGAGGGCCAGGGAACTAGGCTACAATCACACTGCTCAGGTTTCACGAGGGTATAACTCTAACTCAAATGATCCGATTGCCCATGTGTGGCTGCTGTCTCATTTAGCACACTTCCATCTTCATATCTCGAAGGGGTGAAAGGGGAAATAACTTTCTCTTTGAAAAGATTTTTTATTTATTTATTTAAGAGGTACAGTTACAGGCAGTGAGAGGAAGAGACAGAGAAAGGTCTTCCTTCCATTGGTTCACTCTCCAAATGGCCACAAAGACCGGGCTGCGCCAATCCGAAGCCAGGAGCCAGGAGCTTCTTCCAGGTCTCCCATCTGGGTGCAGGGGCCCAAGCACTTGAGCCATCTTCTACTGCTTTCCCAGGCCACAGCAGAGCTGGATTGGAAGAGGAGCAGCTGGGACTAGAACCAGCGCCCATATGGGATGCCGGCCGCAGGCGGAAGATTAACCTGCGCCACGGCGCCGGCCCCAGGAAATAACTCTTGAAGATAACCTAGGTCCACGTGAAGAACTCTAGCTAAAAGAAAGATATACTTTCAACCTCATGGTCTTTTTATTATATATATATATATATTTCTTTTTGGTAATAACAATTATTTATAATGTATATTTGTTAATTATTTTATTTAAAATGCAGAAAGACAGACACAGAAGCAGATACTGAGAGATATATCTTCTATACACTTGTTCTCTTGCCAGATGCCTGCAACAGCCAGGATTGAGCCAGGCTAAAGCTAAGATCCCAATACAATCTGGCTCTCCCACTTGGCGGCAGGGAACCAGGCACTTGAAGCATCATCTGCTGTCTCCCAGGGTGTGCATTAGCAAGAAGCCAGCATTGGAAGTGGAGCTGGGACTGGAACCTACACTCCAATTATGGAACACAGGTGTTCTAAGTAGCATCTCAACCACTGTGCCAAACGCCCTCTGCAATGTGCCATGTGGTACATTGAAATTGACCCAGTGAAGGCAGAAAAACTGTCTCATTTAGTTTTGAATTTCCCAGAATTTGCATAATATTAGCCCAAAGAATTTAATACATACTGAACCAGATGAACTGTCAACATTTCCTGCTATCCACTTCACATACAAATCTTAGTTTAATCCAGTGATGAAGACATCTGGCTAAAAAACGGAAATATTTGGCAAAGCAAAACTTTACTCACATTTTTACAACCACAAAAGTTTTCATGTACTCTGATAAGTCTGGATCACAATTCTGCTAAGTTATACAATATGAACTGCACAACTTTCCATCCTTTTCTAAGTCCCAAAACCTATTATGCAGTTTTAAAAATAGCTGTTCACTGAAATCTTGAAATAAAGTTCTGTAAAAACACTCTGACTGGAAATTTTTAGGAGATATCTCAGTCTAGGTTCTCTTCTGAAAGCATAACTTTCAACAAAAAGTTGTATATAGCTATTTTATTGAAGAGACATTATCAGCAGTGAGGGAAAAGCAGAATGAAATGGGAAGGAAGGAAAAGCAACACACGAGTTCACCACCGAGCCGGTCAGCACAGCTGGCAGCTGCGGATCAAGCTGCCGGGACTTCGTGGGGAACGTGCCTTCCAGCACAGGAGAGGAATGTGTCCACAGCTCCTGTCCACTTTGGCTGAGGGACGCCACAGGGGATGTTAACGCTGCTCTCACCCACACTCCACCCTTGAGGAGACTAAATGCCCCGTCAGCCGATACCTTCACAAGTGTCCCCGCAGCTGTCACTGAAATCAGAGGGCAGGCTGGGAGCGCGAGGCAGGGCACAAAAGGCTTTGTAACAGAGGAGATAGCCGTAATGATACTGTTTTGTCTGATTCTTTTTGTACATTTTTGAAATTACTCTATTTTTAACTTGGAAAATTGTGCCATGGAGAATTCCACATGAGTATACAGTTGAATGATTTCTCATTGGTTTCCTAATGTGCTGTGTATTTCCATTTATAGACCATTTATTCCTTCTAATTTGTTCTCACATTTCTCCTTATACTTTTCCATTATTAAGCAATTGGATTAATATTAGTGGTTTTTCAAATTTTAACTTAATGTCCACTTTAACATTTAGTATTCTTGCCTTATACTTGGATTTGTATACTTTTTATAGATTCTGGAGCTGACTGTCTAGATAACTTCTAGCATTTCTCATTTCATAATTGATTGCCTCAGAGATCAGTTTTATAAATGATTGCTTTTGATATAGAGTAATCTCATCCTCTAAGTAGTTGCAGGTTTTCGCAACAAAAAATAATAAATAAAATGTCTTTAGATTTTCTGTTTAGAAGATTAAAATATTTCTTAATACTGGTGTATTAAATACCCTTTTCACTGATGCTTGTAAATTTCCTTTATATTTTGAACAGCTTTTTTTTTTTTTTTTTTTGGACAGGCAGAGTTAGACAGTGAGAGAGAGAGAGAGAAAGGTCTTCCTTCCATTGGTTCACCCCCAAAATGGCTGCTATGACTGGTGCTGAGCCGATCCGAAGCCAGGAGCCAGGTGCTTCCTCCTGGTCTCCCATGCGGGTGCAGGGCCCAAGCACTTGGGTCATCCTCCACTGCCTTCCCGGGCCACAGCAGAGAGCTGGACTGGAAGAGGGGCAACCGGGACAGAATCCGGCGCCCCAACAGGGACTAGAACCTGGGGTGCCAGTGCCGCAGGCAGAGGATTAGCCAAGTGAGTTGCGGTGCCGGCCTTGAACAGCTTTTAAAGTTTTGTGTGTATGCGTATGTGTGTATGTATGTATGTATAGATATATCACTGCAACATTACTTGGACGATTGTTTTACCTTCATTAGCAATTTTATCTTTTAACTGTGCTACATGGATTCATTTGCTATTCTGCTTACCCTGCCTATCTACTTCCTATTTACTCATGTATGTTAGGCTTTCAGCCATCATTTCGTCCTAAACTTTTTGGATAATTCAGTATCAGGTATATGTAAACAGACTATATTAATATATCTCTTTAAAAAGTCTATACATATTTTATTTTACATTCCTTTATGTATTAATCATTTAGACTACATATCAGGGCAGGTGCTGTGGCACAGAGGTTTAAAGCCCCAGCCTGCAGCTCCAGCATCCCATATGGGTGCTGGTTTGAGTCCCGGCTGCTCCATTTCCAATCCAGCTCCCTGCTAATGTGCCTGGGAAAGGTGCGGAGGATGGCCCAAGTCCTTGGGCCCCTGTACCTATGTGGAAGACCCAGAAGAAGCTCCAGGCTTCAGATCGGCTGGACTGGCTCTGCTCCAGCTATTGCAGTCATTTGGGGAGTGAATCAAAAGATGGAAGACCTCTCTCTGTCTCTACCTCTCTGTAACTACTTCAAATAAATAAAAAATTTTAAAAAATACCACATATCAGCAGTTCTGCTTAGCCATTAAGACGACTGCACCCCTTCTTAGAGTGCCTGGTTAGTCCCAGCTCTGCTTCCAGTTCCAGCCTCCTGTTAATATACCAGGAGGCAGCAAGTGATGGCTCAAGTAGCTGGGTCCTGGCCACCCACTCGAGATACTCAGATTGAGTTCGCAGACCCTGGTGTCAGCTTGGCCCAGCTCTGGCTGCTGTGGATATTGTGGGAGTGAAACAGCAGATGGGAGTATGGAATGTTCTCTCTCTGTCTCTCCTAACCCCCCACCCTTCCCTCCAACTCAAATAAATTAAAATTTGGAGAAAAACCCAACCATAAATGAATACACAACCCAATTAGAAAAATCAGCGAAGATATGAAGAAGGGTTTACCACACAAAAATATTTAAGCACACAAAAAGATGTTCATCACCATCCGCCATCAGGGATATACAAAGTTAAAATTACAATGAGGTATCACTACATAGCCATTAAAAATGGCTAAAGTAAAACAACAGTGGCAATAAGAAATGCAGGTGAGAATGCAGAGAAACGACACCACTCACATTGCCAATGAGGACGTTAAACGGTACAGCCATTCTCGAAAACATTCTGTAGTCCTGCTTATAATTGCTAACACGCAGTTATCACAAAACCTAGCTAATGGACTCTGGAGCGTTTATCCCAGAGAAATGAAAACTTCTAATGTTTATACAAGAATGGATACTTGAATATTAGCAGATTTATTCATGAGAAAAACATGGAAACACTCCAGATATCCTGTAGTGGGTGAATGGTCAAATAAACTTTCACAAGGCACACCAGCAGAGTGCTGCTCTGCAAAAAAAGGGACAGAGTACTGACAGCAGCAAAAACGTGGCTCCATCTCCAGGGAATTCTGGTGAACGGAAATGGCCAATCCCTACAGGTTACTATGTCTGATCCCACTTACGTTAACTTTCTTGAGGTATTTCATGTTTAAATAAGATATAATTAAAGATTCACTCTTGTCTTACACATGCCAGAACTTCATTCCTTTTCTGGTTGGATAACATTCTATTATGTGGAGACTGTCCATTCCTCAGCTGACAGACATTCTGGCTTTCATGAATAATGCTTCTATGAACCGTTACATATAAGGTCTTGTGCAGACCTAAGATCACTAATTTTTAACCTCCCTTCTTTTTCAATATTAAAGAAATGAACTTTCCTCTAAAAACTGTTTTAGCAGCACCACATATTTTGATATGCTCTTTTCCTAGTCATTCAGTTTGAAATATTTTTCTGATTTCTACCTTTTATATTATTTAGAAGTATATTGTTTAACCACAACATTTTTCAGGATTTTTCCAGATTTATTTTCATTATTGATTTCTAATTTAATTCCACTGTAGTCAGAAAACTTACTTGTGGGGCCAGCACTGTGGTATAGTAGATTAAGGTTCTGCCTTTGGTGCCTGCATCCCATATCGGTGCTGGTTCGAGACCCGGCTGCCCCTCTTCTGATCCAGCTCTCTGCTAACAGCCTGGGAAGGCAGTGGAAAATAGTCCAAGTCCTTGGGCCCCTGCATTTACATGGGAGACCCAGAAGAAGCTCCTGGCTCCTAGCTTCACATCACCTAAGCTTGGCCATTACAGCTATTTGGGGGGGTGAATCAGCAGATGGAAGACCCCTCTCACTCCCTCTGTAACTCTACATTTCAAATAAATAAATCATAAAAAGAAAAAGGAAACTTACTTGTTATGCTTTAAAACCTTGTACATTTGAGACCTTTCACTCTAGAATACGATATATCTTGGTGAACGTTCCATACGTACTTGAATGGAATTTTTATTCCATTTGTTAGGTGAGGTGTTTTCTACGATCAACTCTGCTGATACTGTTCTGACTACTTAAGCTCTGTATTCATGAGAAATGGATACTGCAATCATAGCTCTGTGGGTTTGTCTCCCCTTCGAGTTTCCTCAGTTTTGCTTCACATCACTGCCAAGCTTTATTATTTAGGTTCATATGCATTCGGGACTATTACATCCTCTAGATGAATCTACCCTACTATCATTTTCAATTCCTTGCCCTAAAGTTGACTCCCCCCCATTAACATAGCTATTCCAATTTCCTTATGATTAGTGTCTGCATAGTACATTTTTCTCCATCTTTTTTCTTTTAAACTATTTGTGTCCTCACGTTTAAACTGTTTTCACTGTTTAGGCACCATGGGTGCCATCATTCTTTTTATGATAAAGTCTATGAACTGCTGCCTGGGTCTAGCTTTTTATCCAGCTCAAAAATTTCTTTTACCTGTCATGTTTATACTATTTACATACAGTGTAATTATCAATACAGTTGGGTTCAAATCTTTCTATTGCTTTCATCTCAAAATTGTAATCTTCTCTATGTTAACCATTACCTCACTTTCTGAAACTTACTTTTATTTTTTTCTTGACTATTTCAGCTTGTTCTTCCTGGTATAATTCTTGCCGCACTTGTTCCAAATCTTCACGTTGCCGCAGCTTTTCTTCCAACTTCTGAGACAGCTGTTAAAGTTTTAAACAAACACAGAATTTATAGGACCCACGATCAGTAACGAAGAATTCAGAATTTCACCGGTATCAAAGAAGCAGTGATTTAAATACCACATTCTGAAGCTGTAGCCTTTTCTCCTCATTTTCTTGAACTTTTGCCATCCGAGCTTCTTCTCTTTGCTGCTGCATGTTGGCAAACTCCATGATTTTTCTGTTTTCTTCCTCCATCTCCTCACATTTCTTTCTCCTCCAGAGAGCCTGCTCTTTCTGAAATTCTTCCATATACTTTTGAATTGTAGTCATTTTTTCTAACTTTTGTTGTCTTTCCCTAAAAAGCGATAGGGGGTACAATTTTACATTAGCAGAAATGATAAAAACATCAAAAAGTTTAAAAAGTAATTTCCTTCTTTTGCAATAATATGAGGGAAAACACCTTTCCTATTTATAATGTGTTCATACGTTCATGCAACAAATATTTTGAATGTCTACTATGTAATAGTAAATATAATACCAGGTATGATTTTTTCTGGATACGCTACCACTGTGTCTCTCCTGCCCTCTGTTAGTACTCTCGTGTTCTTATTTCAGAGAGGTTACTACCTGTTAACATTACCTTGCAGGATCCTCCATTTAAGCTGTCTACCAAGGAGAGTCATCAGATAACCTGTCTTGTGACATATGATATGAGAATATTTAAGAAAAACAAAGGTTTAGACCACTCAGGCACTTAATAACCATCTACTAGTTACCATGCTAACAAAGATGAGTAAGTGTTGATCTCAATTTACATGCCCACAGCTGACATTTATGACATTTACTATGTATAAGGCAATGGTTCTAGGTGCTTCACCTTTTCCCAACAAGCCTATCCTGACTCTCATGTACATATTCCAGCATTATAACAAGTAGGAATAAACTCACAATTGGTCTTCTTCATAGATTTTCCTAACAATCTCATCAATCATGAGTTTCTCTTTCAGCAACTGCTCATAAGCTTCCTGCTTCTTTATTTCTTGCTCTTCGAGTTGTTTCTCTAAGTCCAGGTAATACTGTGCTTTCATTTTATTTCGTCTGTCTTCCGCAGCATTCTCCTCCTTGACTGCCCTCTCGTGTTCTTCCATCATAGTTTTGGCTATTTCAGCATCACGTTTCTGTTAGTAAAAGAAAACTCATCTTTCCATTCAAGTTTCAGCAAAGTATGACGGACTATTTCAAAGAGATATAATTTAGACTGCAAAGCCTGTTACATAGAATAGATACAAGGATTACAAGTCAAATTAAAAGATAACCTTATTTTGGTGCAAAGACAGTTTCAAATCCATGCATAGTTATTCCCTCTGCACATTTTCCATGAATTTTTATAAGAATCCTTATATTTTCATTTGTCTATGTAAAAGCAAAACTAAGCCACTGTCACTGGAAGGATCTGAACTATGAATCAGACTCTAAAGAGACTTTCCGGTTCCTTCAGGTGGCTCTCACAGGGGAGTAACCTGATAAGGATAATTAGTGAGTCCACATTTGAAAACTAGCAAGTAAAATACAGAATACTTTATCCATAAGCTTAATTATTTCAACTGCCAACGCAGTGGTCATCTTTTTCTTCTACTTTCAAGTTGATCCAGGTAATTTTCCTAATCCTGAGCTTCACTGAGCAGTAGCTGCTATTTAGAATAAGACGGTAACTACCACATTCATGGGAGTCTACTATTGAATGGCTCTAGTGACTCTAGTCGAAACTTCCTTTCCCTGGTCCTTCCAGGTTTCCTTTGTCTAATGTATTAAAGGCCCTTGGTAATCACCTTTAACTTAACAGTGTCACTATGTCACCACGCCTGTTTTCTTCAGTTTTGAATTCACTCACTCAAGATCTTTCTGCTGAATTAGAGATAATCTCTCATCTTCAATGGGTTAAACCCGTATTTCTTTTGAGTATTTGCAAATCATTCAACAAATTAAGTTGTAAATTTAATATATTAGGATGATTTTTAATATATTAGGATGATGGTTTTATACCTGCCACCCATATGTTTATCTGTATGATTGCAATCCAAACACTGAAATGGTCAAAAGCATCAAACATAAAGAAGAAACATTAAAATATGAATGCTAAATGTCACTGCTGATAGAAGCAATGCCTTTAACATAGACTTGACTAATGTACGTGACCAAAATTTTTTCTCTGCTTTTCTTTCCATATTTTGTACTTTCTTATATAAAATCGATAAAAGCATTTATGTACTGATCACCACTTACTGAAACATAATGTGATCATTTTACAGATAAGAAAACTAAGGCTAGTCAAAACTAGTATACCCTGACAGGCAGTCAGCTCCTCTGAGAATTTGGCTTTCATTTTGTGGATCAATTTTTATTTAGAAAGTACTAACAATTCTCTTAGCAGTCTGATTAAAATGTCCACAGCTCCTTTAAGTAACCTCAACTGCTAAGATAATGAAAACTCCAAACCATTGGAGCACATCATTATGTTCTACTTTATTTATGAAAGGGTAACACTACAGGCATAGGAAATAAATTTCCCCCACTTTCCCTACCACACCTGAGGTTATGACTGTTCACAACATGGTGCAGAACCCCTAGACAATTTCTGTACTAAGTGCACACGTACAATAGTAATAATGTATAATAATACCTGTATATAATACCTGTATTGCATTGCTCTGGTTAACTGTTTTGATACTCAACTCTAATTTTATATATATGTGAATGAATGTTTATGTTGACACATACAATACACGTGTACACATATATGCATTCCTATGTAACTACCTAATAATCAGAACTCAAGCAGTCTGCTTTCAAGTGTTAATTCAATAAACCCTATTTTATCTTTATAGCTGTAGCCTCTAGCATTATGTATATCTGAGACATACCAGCATCTAGTATGTCTGAGACTTCCTTTGTTCAAGAAAAAGCCTCGCCCTGAAGTTGGGAGCATGTGAGGAGTTAGAAAAGCTTATAAAGATATAGCAAATGAGCCAAAGATACTGCTTTTATAAAACAGTGAAATTTTATATACAAAATAGCTTACTTTCCAAAAACACTTAAAAATAAATTTAACAACAACCTAAAGTACATGCATCATGCTAACAATCTGTACTGAACTTGTCTGTCCAGGAACACTCAGTTACAAAGCACGCAGGATGCTGGCAGTTACTGAACAGGGCTTGCTCACTCGCAACGGAGGCCCGTGCCTCTGAAAGGCTCCACTATTCACCAGTTTCCTTCAGGGTCTGAAAAGTTTATGTGTGTTGGAGAAATGTAGCAGTGTCAATTCTTCAGATTGTAACAATTTAAAAAAACTGTCTTATTTTTTCTAAATGAAGCTAAAAACATAAAAATAACAGAATGACCAGACACATAATTACCATTTGCTCATATTTAATGGCATCCTTTTCAGCAATCTGAGCTGCCCTTTCTTTATTCATATAAGCTGCTTTTAATTTCTTCTCCAGTTCTCTGAGCTCAATACTGTTAAAAAAAAAAAAAAAGTAGTAGTTTAAATTTGAGGACTATAAAAGAATTAAGTTTCACAGAAAATTCAATGACCATACAATATATGTAGCTGGTATAATATTTAGAGCCAAAGGAGAGATAAGTTAATGCATTACATTTAATAGATGCCTTAGGGCATTAGGGTTTACCTTTTTGGGTTGAAAAAGACCTCTCTATACTACTAACACTCTGTTTCTCCTGTGCCAGCATCACACTATTTAACTACTGTGGAAGGTAAGTCTTCAGACCCTAGAGAAGACACTTCCAAGTTTGCTTTTCTTCCTAAAGACTGCTATAACCTCTTAGCACCAGCACAGGGGCTGCTGCCTATGATGTTGGCATCCCACATGGGCACCTGTCCACATCCTGACTGCTCCGCTTCCAATCAAGCTACCTAGTAATGTGCCTGGGAAAGCAGCAGAAGATGGCCCAAGTGCTTGGGGCCCTGCCACCTCCATGGGAGATGAAGATGAAGCTCCCAGCTCCCGGGTTCAAAGCCTAGCTTAGCCCGTTATCGTGGACATCTGAGGAGTGAGCCAGTGGATAGATCTCTGTGTCTCTCCCTCTCTTTATTTAAAATAAATAAACAGATCTCAAAAAAAAATCATCTTAGCTGTTCTTGGTACTCTGCGTTTCCATATATATTTCAGATTCATCTTGTTTAACATCACAATTAATAAAACTGATGGGAATTCTGATTCAAATGTACTGAATTCATAAATCAATTGGAGAGAACATCTTTGCAAAACTGAGTCTTCAATTCAATAAACATGGTATATCCTTCCAATTATTTCAGTTTTCAAAAAGTCTATCCCTAATGATTTTTTGTTTGGTTTTATGCCTTTTTATATCTTTCATTATTTTTATTAAACAGATTATCCTTTTTCAAATTTCATTTTCTAGTTAAAGTCGATTTACAGAAATAAAATTAGTTTATTTTTGACTTCATATCTAACACCACCGTTAAATTTTCTAATTCTTTTCCGATTTTTATGTATCTGTAGATTCTTTTGGGTTTTTTACATGCACAGTCATGTCACCTGTGAGCAATGAAATCTTGTATTCCTCGGCTGCCCATCCTCACACCTTTCTTCCATCTCTCTTCCTGGCCTTACTGCGCTGGTTCGGATATCCGACACGGAGACGGGCAGCAGCTGTCAGAGCAGGCATCCTTGTCTTCATGTCAGAGGGAAGCTGCGCAGCAGTTTGTCGCTGAATATGCTGTTTCTCTAAGTTCCCTGCTATTACTACGTCGCTAAACTTTTCACAAAATCACAGTGTGACGATTCACACCAACTGGTTTTTCCTACTGACATGATTTTGTTACTACAAGGAATTACATTTATTGGTTTTTAATGTTAAACCAACCATGTATTCCTGCGAAAAAACTGAATTTGATCAGGATGAATCATCTTTCTTAACATTGCATTTGATTTTGACTAATAGACTATTTTAGATTACAGCAGCTGAATTCATGAGAAAGATCATCTATAATTTTCTACCAATACTCTATTCAGAAACAGATCTAAAAAATAAATGGAGAAGCTCTCCTCCTTGTTCTGCTCTGTGGAACTATTAAGATTGGTATCACTTTTTACTGAATGTTTGTTAACATTCACCTAGCCTTGAAGTTTCTTTGTAGACAAGGTTTAAATTATAGAAGCATGATTTTTTCAAAGTTGTAGGATCATTAAAATTTCTATTTCTTCTTAGCCAGTTTGCTAAAATGTTATTTAGGAACTTATTTAAATTCTCCAATTAATTTGCCTAATATTGCTCACAGTATTCTGCTATCATCTACTAAATGTTCATACAGATCTAAAGTGATATCCCATCACCCACTCCTAAAATTGTCATTCTTCCTACTCTATCATATTATCCTTTTTTTTTTTTTTTTTTTTGACAGGCAGAGTGGACAGTGAGAGAGAGAGACAGAGAGAAAGGTCTTCCTTTTGCCGTTGGTTCACCCTCCAATGGCCGCCGCGGCCGGCGCGCTGCGGCCGGCGCGCTGCAGCCGGCGCACCGCGCTGATCCGATGGCAGGAGCCAGGAGCCAGGTGCTTTTCCTGGTCTCCCATGGGGTGCAGGGCCCAAGCACCTGGGCCATCCTCCACTGCACTCCCGGGCCACAGCAGAGGGCTGACCTGGAAGAGGGGCAACCGGGACAGAATCCGGCGCCCCAACTGGGACTAGAACCCGGTGTGCCGGCGCCGCAAGGCGGAGGATTAGCCTAGTGAGCCGCGGCGCCGGCTCTATCATATTATCCTTTTAAAGGCACAATTCATGGATTTGTTTATTCTACTTTATATCACTCTATTTTATGTCTGTATTGTAACTTTCTCCTTAATACCTTTATTAGCCTTTTTCCTACATTCTTTTTCTAATCATTCCAGATGAGAATTTTCTAATAATTCTAGATGGAATCTTCTTTTCTAATATAATCATTTCACATTAAAAATTATCCCAAGGAATAGATTTAGTGACAACCCACAAGGTTTGGGATTTTTTTTAATCCTGTAACTTTTTTTATTGTGGTAATGTAACAAAAATTTGCCATTTAACCATGTTTAAGGCAAACTCCTGGTTTTCACAATGTTCTGTAGCCATCAACACTATTTCCAAAACTTTTTCATCAATACAAATACTTTCTCTGTTAAACAGTAACTTCTGGGGATGGCACTGTGGCATAGCACTTTAACACCCTGGCCTGAAGCACTGGCATCCCATATGGGCACCAGTTCAAGATCTGGCTGCTCCACTTCCGATCCAGCTCTCTGCTGTGGCCTGGGAAACGTAGTGAAAGATGGCTCAAGTCCTTGCACCCGCACGGGAGACCCGGAAGAGGCTCCTGGCTCCTGGCTTTGGATTGGCTTGGTTGCAGCCAATTGGGGAGTGAACCATCAGATGGAAGACCGTTCTCTCTATATATCTCTCCCTCCCTCTTAAAAAAAAAAAAAAAAAAAAGAGAGAGAGAGAGAAACACTAACTTCCCACTCCTCCTGCTCCCTAGCCCCTGGTAATTCCTAATTGAGGTTTTGCTTCTATGAATTTGCCTATTATGGATATTTCATGTAAGTAAAATTTGCTGTTTGTGTCTTTTAGGTCTGCTTTTATCTACTTAAAATGTTTTTTTAAGTCCATACGTTCATTTGTAAAAGAATGACATTCCACTGTATGTACAAGAGTGCTTCAAAAGGTTTACAGAAAATTGAAATAGAGATGATTTTAGTACCAAAATAGTTGAAATCCATGCAAGTTTTTCATTACTTCTATTTTTCATGAACTATTACAAAACCGATTTGCACAGGTTTCAAAATTTCTTGCACAGGCCAGCGCTGCAGCTCACTAGGCTAATCCTCCGCCTGCAGCACCACCACCCCAGGTTCTAGTCCCAGTCGGGATGCCGGTTCTGTTCCGGTTGCTCCTCTTCCAGTCCAGCTCTCTGCTGTGGCCCAGGAGTGCAGTGGAGGATGGCCCAAGTGCTTGGGCCCTACACCCACATGGGAGACCAGGAGAAGCACCTGGCTCCTGGCTTCGGATCCTTGCAGCGCGCTGGCTGTAGCGGCCATTTTGGGGGTGAACCAACGGAAGGAAAACCTTTCTCTCTCTCTCTCTCTCACTGTCTAACTCTGCCTGTCAAATAAAAAAAAAAAATCTTGTACCAAAATCTTCCATTAACTTTTTGAAGTACACTCATATATACCATATTTTGTTTATCCACTCACCTGTTAATACACACTCAGGTTGTTTCCAGCTCTTGGCTATTATATATAATGCTGCTTTGAACACTGTCATAAAAGCATCTACTGAGCCCAGATTCAATTATTTGGTATATAAGTCAGGGGGTGGAATTGCTGGGTCATATGGCAATTCTATTTTTAACATTTTCCACAGTGCCTGCATCACTTTACCTTCCCACCAGCAACCTAGGAAGACTCCAATTTCTCTACTTTCTTGCCAACCAATATTTTCCATTGTTTTTATTGCAATTAGGCCTATTAGGTATGAAATGGTATCTTGCTGTCGTTTTGACTTGTATTTCTCTCAAGACTAATGGCTTCTTTTTTTTTACAGGCAGAGTTAGATAGTGAGATAGTGAGAGAGAGAAAGAGAGAGAGACAGAGGCAGAGACAGAGAAACGTCTTCCTTTTTCCATTGGTACACCCCCCAAATGGCCACTACGGCCGGCGCTGCGCCGATCCAAAGCCAGGAGCCAGGTGCTTCCTCCAGGTGCCCAAGCACTTGGGCCATCTTCCACTGCCTTCCAGGACCACAGCAGAGAGCTGGACAGGAAAAGGAGCAACCGGGACAGAATCCGGCACCCCGACCAGGACTAGAACCCAGGGTGCCAGCGCCACAGGCAGAGGATTAGCCTAGTGAGCCACAGCGCCGTCTACGTTTTAGTGTGCTTTTTGCCCATTGCATTATCTTCTTTACAGAAACGCCTATTTAAGTGTGTTGCCCACTTTTAATTGGGTAGTTTTTTTGTTGTCAAATTGCAGGAGTTTTTTATATATTCTGGATGTTAAATCCTTATCAAAGACACAATTTTATGTTCTGGCCTGAGTAATGTCTGAGCTAAGTTAGTTCTTCATGTAGCCCCATGATAGGTTAAAACAGGACACAGTTTGTGAATGGCATATGCTCACTCTCTCCTCCTGACCAGGGACTGGGGCCCACAGGAGAAATATGGGCTACTGTCTTCAAGGTTGCCTCCAAATTGGGAGGGGCTGAGGTAATAGCAAGTAAAAACAACACAAAACTTCAATATCATCTTTAAGTTGCTTCATTCTGGGCTCTTTCTTGGTGACCATAAACTTTGAGTCCATCCCAAGTTCTTGCAAAGTTGGTTCTGTCCATTTCTGCTTGTTCTTTGATGTTTCTAGTAGGGACAAGGGGATGTTTCTGGTAGAGACAAGCAGAAAGGACAAGAGCTTGGAGCTGGCCACTCTGACATTTTGCTGAATCACAACATTC